AGGAAACAAGAAGAGGCGCCATGAAATCTGGGGAGATATCATGGCCCCCGCCATGAGATCCACCCCCCCCCCTAGTCCTCACCCCCCTCTTTTCCGCTCCTGACTTCCGAGGACGAGGGATCAGCGCCCGGGACGCCTCCCTCGGGACCTGACTACCTACCAGACCACCCCAACCCAACCCGAAGACCCGAATTTCGGGTTGGGGGGGGGTACGGGTTCCATACGTGTTTTTTCGATGTTCCCCGACCCCCCCCAACTGGAAATGGAGGGCAAATTGAGGCCTTCGGGTTGGGTTGGGGTGGTCTGGTGGGTGGTGAAAGGTGCAGGCCCTCGGCGCAGGTCGGGCCTGTCCTCCTGCAGGCGGACTGGGAGGGAGAGAGAGATCCAGAACAGATCAGACAAATGCTCAAAAGTAGCCACAAGTGGTCGAAGCATCGTCCCCTCGCTACGTTTTTTTGCTATGTTTGAATAGTCTGCCTGTGGAGGGACATGCCCGACGTATCCCTTGACTTAGACCCCAACTCTCTGCGGCATCTCTCCAGCCAGATCAATCCGCTGAGGGTCGCGGGGCGCGAGTTCTGGGCGAAGACCCACGGTGTGGAACAAATTCAAAAGCCAGGACCCCAGGGGCCTCTCCTACCCTTCCGCCCCCAGAGATCCGATGCCTTGATTTTCTCCACACAGGGTCACCGCCGACGCTCTCTGCAGGGACTGCGTTTCATCATGAATCGTTTTCTAACGGTCCGGGGACCTGGCATGGGACCCAAGAGGCAGAAAGACACAAAAAGAATATATAAGAAGGACATGCCAACATGAACAGAAACGTTCGGAGGTCAACGCGGATTTCTTGGACCAGCTCAATAAACCACACCCTGGCGTGCTCCGCACGCCAGTGGCGGCGCCAGAGGCGCCGCCAGGGAGGGGGTCCAGCGCAGATCGAAGAAGTCCGCGCGGACCATTTGGAAATATATGCTAAAGCTGCTCTGCATCTGCGCAAACAAACTTACGCCTTGACGACAAGTTCAATTTCGCACGCCCGAAATTGATACGGACAGAAATTGTCACGCTGACCAACATCAAATGTTGCATAAAAACGTCAATGGCCGCTGTTGGCGTTGGGCAGGCGACCGTTTGCCTCAAATGGACATCGTCTGTGCCCACATCCACAGCGAATCCGGTTGAAATGGGCAAGAACTGCTTTCGGATGTCACCCCCATGACATTCGCACCCATGTCTACAGTGCCGGCCAGTAACCGTGCGATACAACTAGCGATTCGTACCCCGACGTTTTCCATAGCATTCTAAATCAACTGAAACAATTGATTAATCCTACCAGCCCTCTGGACGTAGTTGTTTTAAAGAGGTTCTTCTTCCACCCCCTTTCTTCCCCTTCGGGGAAGGGTTTACCCCTACCCCCTCCCCTGGACCTGGACGGGGCCGATCGCGAGCGGCCAGGGCGTGCAAAACGGCCTCGGCGAGGAAGCCAAAATCATTGGTTTTACCGGGGTTTTGGGCCCCATTTTGGCCTCTTGGGGGGGCAACGCTACAATGAGCTCCCCTCTTCTTTGATCGATAGCCTCGAAGATGGCCCCAAGAAGCGCCCAGGAGGCCCCAAAAGGTCCCAAGATGGCCCCAAGATGGCCCCAAGAGGCCCCCAAGAGGCCCCCAGGAGGTCCTCAAGGGGACCCCAAGCGGCCCCAAGAGGCCCCCCCGAGGCACCCAAGACGCACGAGAGCCCCCCAGGACCGCCGAGAGACCCCCAAGACGTTCCAAGAGGCCACCAAGAAGCGCCCAAGAGATACCTCAAGAGGCTCCGAGAGGCATCCAAGAGACCTCTGGCCTCTTTGCTTGCCCTCATCCTTCTGCTCCTCTCCTCCTCCCACCTCACTCCTCCTCCTCCTCCTCCTCCTCCTCCTCCTCCTCCTCCTCCTCCTCCTCCTCCTCCTCCTCCTCCCCCTCCTCATCCTTTTCGTCCTCCTTCTCCCCGCTCCCTCATCCATTCATCCAGCCTCCTCTTTCTCCTCCCCCCCCTTCTTCGCACGGTTGGACCGTCCCCCTCGTCGCTCCCGCACTTCCCTGATCACCTCAACTCGCCTGAACATCGTTTCTCGATAGGCTGGTGGGAATACTTTTTTTTACAGCCGCAGGCGGAAGCGCCGGCGGCGAGCAGTCACGGTCGGGCTGCGGCCGCGACTAAATTCCCAGGCGCGCGCGGGGGCCGCGGATCAGGCGGCGAGGTAGGCGGCAACCCAGGGCGTCTGAGAGGCCAGGCGGTCGTGCAAGCCCAGGGAATCTGAGTCTGAGGGGTCAGTCACCTGAGGCGGTCGTGCAAGCTGCAACCCAGGGAGTCTGAGAGTCAGTCACCCACGAGCAAGCCAGGCGCGGCCAAAATGGCGCGCAGTTCGTTCCCTGTCGTGGTCGTGCCGAGACAACCGCGTGGTGGTGGGAACGATCTCCGTGCGAGAAAGTCAGTCCAGGGAGTCTGACGGGTATGAGCAGA